CCATAAACATTAGCATGGGTCTGCACGTCAAAAAGCAGCACAGAACCCCTGGTGAAACGGAGGCAATCCATGCTATCTGCATACATTGCTTGTCTTGGCAGAGACAACACAGGCATAAAGTCTCCCGTTAAAAAGTGTCAACAGGAGTTAAACATAAGAGTAATTTTTCCTCTGCGTTTTCAAGACCAGGTGATCTTAAGTTCTTCAGATGATAAGTCTATAGTATGCCAAGACCATCTACAACAACGATGTTTAACCTACTAAGCAATAAAGTCAAAGGTATAATTAATTATGTTATGGAGGTCACTTCAATCTTCATGATTCTGGCCAAAGCAATAAAGCAGATCCCTAAAAAGTAAGGGGGGAATACGGAGGGGAGCATTGTCTTCAAATAGCTTACGTGTGCTCTCCCATCCCAGCCACCTGCTAGAAATTATAACCTCTAGACTTCAGTGCAAAACCAATTTGTTCATATGTTCATATTAACCTAAAATTTATTATTTCATACTTCATATTAACCTAACCACTTCTCCCATTTTTAATTGCCTACCTGTCCAGCGATTTTTTGCTTGAAACTTTCAATAGAGTTAAATGCACAACTTCCCTTGAATAAATTAACCAGCATCAAAGATAGTATATATTCAAACCTGGAAAGGAGTTTTATTATTATACCATCTATTCAACAGTTTTTGCTTCCCAATACTACCAGTCATCTTGAAATCCAGAGTGAGGACAACCTTATCTAAGGAGAAATGATTCAGGATCCTTCAGGCAAACAAGTGTGAGAAGAAGTTAGTAAGTATTCTGCTTGGAGAAGCAGAAGCTGCCGCACCAGCAGCAGTGGCAGGAATGCATTGCAAGCTCCTCAACCCCAGGCCTCCAAGAGGCTATAAACACTAGCCCCAGCAATTGAAAAGACTAATTTTAATAGTGTACTTCTCACTGTGTGATTAAGCCTCCAATTGAATCACTCAAGAAAATTCAATTACATCAGCAACACAACCTATTTTTAAGCGTGGCATTTAAGTTGAAAAAGTAATTAGATATTATCATTAATCTACCATTAACAACATTCAAAACCTTTTTTGTAATCAAACAGTTTAGAATTAACTAAATGGGAAACACAAATCGCGTTTGACAAAAGAAGCATATCCCAGGCTCTGTGAGATGGGCTGAATTCAGCTGCTCGGATGCTTTCGTTTCAGTGATGGCTAATAAAAGCGATTCAGGTAATGTTAAAAAAGAAAGCGAAAGCAGGTTGGGGCTGGCAGAGGAGAGCCCCGAGCAGCCGGCTCTTCTGCTTTGGAAGAGTGACCTCTGTAGGCATAAACCCAGCGAGGCTGGGATGGCAAAAGCATTCCCCTTCCTCCTAGGCCGAGCCAAGGCTGTTTCACCAGCACAGCAGGCCCACTCCTGCAATGCAACCCGGGCTCTCAGCCTTTGCCTTTCGAGGAGCCTAAACAGCCTTATAAAGCCCGCTTTATTACTGCCCAGGCCCGCTTATCCTCCGAAGTGACGCCGTGCCTTTCTTAAGCCAAAGAAAGGCTTCAGCTGGTGCAACATCATGGAAGTGCTGAGCCAGTGACTTTTGAGGGTAAATTTTAAAACAGGCTTCCCACCTGAAGCATACACAAAATAAGTATTTGTCAATCAATATACAAATAAAGACTCTGAACTGAGCAGTCCAGCGTGGTCCTGCCAGTTTCTTTTCTTTTTTCAGTTTTTTTCTTTAAGAAAGATTAGGAAACTTCTCGGTAAAGAGAAACAGAGGAAATATTAAAAATTAAGGCAGGCAGAATCTACAGTGATTTTTTTCCTTTAGTGAAAGCAACAGTAGATGGTGATTGTAAGGCAAGGTTACTTGGTAAGCTTGAGATGCTACTCCTAATTCAAACTTTGAAATCTTCAAAACTCCTAGAGATCCTGCCACCTGCGCAGGATTAATCCCTGATCAGAAATACTCCATTCATACTTGTCTCATCACCACCAACATTTCCTCTACAAACTCCCCGGGAAAACAAGACATGTACTTACTGGAGTTAATGGGAAACGCTAAATTCAATTAAACACATTGCATATGATTTAATTTAAATATATATAACTGAAGGTGAAGCATGCATATAAGAAAAGTACTTTAACCATTTCTTCTTTAAAATTCTTCACTCATTGAGTCTACTTCTTCCCTTTCCGTGATTTTGTTCTCCAAAACTAGTGATTCTAATCACAAAAGTTCAGAGGCTCTCACAAGTGAACAAAGCCAACTTCCATTTGTATGTCAAAAATCCGAGGAGACAAAAGAGAAGTGTAAGTACTTTACATCACTGCCTCAGACTTTTCTTTAGGAAGAACAGCCCACTTTTCAAAAAGTTCCTCTTTCTAACAGAAATAATTTTGCAAGTTAAGTAACTTGGGTGGTTTGGGTTTTTTTTGTTTGTTTATTTAGATAAAGCATTTCTTTCAAGAGTGAGCTTTAAAAAGTGAGGTCCTGGGAACGCATGTACATTTCTGCTTGGGTTTGTTAATGAAGAATGACACTATATGGTTGTGTGATGGGTAATGCTTAGTCATTACTCACTGACATGTGCCTTGATACCATCAACTCCACAACCAAATTTAGCCCTGTTATAAGCAGATGTAACTTCGCTGGAGTCAATGGGATGAGTTTGCATCTGCAGACGGAGAAGTTGGAGAGTATCACCCTTTCCTGGCAACTCATCGCAGCCCGGTTCCTCCGCTGCTCCAGCCCGGGCGAGCCCGGACTTTGCCCGCAGGTTTTATCCTGCTACCGCCGCACCGCTCCCCAGCCCGCTACCGGTCCGCCCTCCCGAAACCCTCCTGCCGGGGCAAGGGGCGATGGGGCAGCCCCGCCGTCACATGAAACACCCTCCCTGGGAAGGGCCGCATCTCGCTGCCAGCCACGGCCGGAGCCCCCGGCGCCGCCGCTCAGCGCTAGCGCACTCCGCCCCGGCCCCGCGTCTCCCGGCGGCCGCGGCCGACCCACGGCACCGTCCCGTCCCTCCCCCGCGCACGGAGGACAGTGCCGGCCCCCGGGGAGACGGCGAGCAGGAGCAGGATGGAAACTTACTTGGGGTTAGAGGAATTCCAATATATGGGATCTAAAACGATGGACCGCGCTAATGCAGTTCTGCATAAAACCATCACGGCTCCCCAGCAGTACTTCCAGGCGGAGGCATCTCGCCTCCGCGCTGCCATGGTCGCAGGCGGCACCGAGTCCCTCCCCGGAGCCTCGCCAACTCCGCCGTGCGCCTTCCCACGCACCTGAGCGGCAACAGCAGGGTGGGTGCCTGGTATCCCAACAGACGGGATGATTGATAGGAAAAATAATAATAATAAAAAAAATTTTAAAAATCAGTAAGAGTCGACGATGCACTTGGCGAGAGCTGTAAGCAGATCTACTGAGTCATGTATGCCACTCGCATGTAGGAATATCTCCTGTGAGGTCAGATCCAAGCTACCTCCGAAGTAACAGCAATAGCAAAAAAAAAAAAAAAAAAAAAAAAAAAAAAAAAGCAAATGCCTTAGTCCTTCTTCTTAGTGAGGGTCTCCCGGCTGCCTTGGAAGATGCCACTCAAGCTGCCAACTCCCATTTGGATCCAGAGCGCCATACGCGTTCACAGTGTCTAAGGCCCGCGTGAAAAGGAGTAAAACAAAAAATAAATTACGAAAACGTAAAATAAAAGGTGGCGGGAGAAATAAAAGGGGGGGGAAAAGGACGCAGGTTCGGCGGGCGGCTCCTCCTGTATGTCTCTCACTACTCCCCGCAGTTTGCAATCCGCACGGGCACCAGCCCGGGCTGTTTCGGGCAGCTCGGAAGCAACCGCGAGTCAATAAATCCACTCCGAGTCAGCTCCGCCGGTCCCGGGGAGGCGCATCCGCAGGGCTCCGGCTTCCCCGAGGGGCACTGCTGTCCTTGTCGCCGGCAAAGACCACGGAGCGGAGCAAGGAAAGAAACAGGGGCAGATAGTAATGATTACAAAAATAAAAAATAAAAGAGACCAAAACGGGAGGGGGGCGGGGGGGTCGCAGCGTCAAAGCGTTCCTCTCCCGCTGCGCGACCTGCAGCGCGCGCCGCGGCGGCCGACTGAGAAAGGAGGAACGACGTGGCCGCGGTGACTTGCGCCGACGCGCACCCACCGCGGAGAGGAGGAAGGAATGAGCCGAAAGAGAACGCGGGCGCCAGCCGCACCTCGTTCCCAGCGCGGCGCCATTCCAAACCCTCGATGCCGACGCGCTGCGAGTTCCCCGGCGCAGGAGCGCGGCCGGCGGCAGCGTCGCATGCCGTAGCCCTATAGAGCGCGGCCCCGCTGCCGCCTCGCGCCCGCCTGCTCATGGAGGGCCGGCCGGCGGGCCGCTGCGCTGGCTTGGGGCGCGGTGCTCGCGCCTGTCACTTACCGGCCGAGCGTGGCGGGCGGGGTCCGCGCCCGAGCCCGGCGCGAGCGGCCGGCAGGTAACACCCGCCGCCGCGGCCCCGCCGCGGGCGTCCGCTTGCCCCGTACGTGCGCGGAGCGGTCCGCTCGCTCTGACTCAGCACCCGCGGCTGTGCGGGAGCGCCGGGCGGGGCCAGATGGAGCTGAATCAGGGGGAGAAATGAATTAAATAAAGCATTAAAAAACCAGCCTTTGCTAAAAAACTGTTTTCACGCGGTACGCTGCCGTTCGCAGAGCGGGGAGCGGCGGCAGGGCCGGGAGCCCCTCACCCTGCGCGCCGCTGCGAGCGCAGCCCTCCGGGGAGCGCGGCTGCAGGCGCTGCGCGGCAGCGGCCACCTCCGCGCCTTGGGGCGGGAAAGGGCCGGGCCGTGTTCCCACTGCCGCGGAGCTTCGTGCACAACTTTCTGCGGGTTCCTTGCCGGGAAGGAGGCCTGGGGGTGCTTCCGCGCCAAGTTCCCACCGGCCCTTCCCACGGCTTCTGGGAGTTTTCTAAGTTTATCTGGTTGCACGACAATTAGCCACGGGCAGTCACTGAATAAAGAAGAGTCGGACATGCGGAGGCTTCAGAGGGATGCAGAACGGCGGGCAATACGGGGCTCCCGGGCCGGCTGCGGATTCCCTTGCATTTCTCTGGCCGTAGCTCAGAGACTCTTTCTTCCCCTGTAGATTTTCGTGGGGAGGGGGTTCGGACACAGACGCTTCGTATCCCAACGGCACGGCACCTTGCCCTTTTATTTCATTCTGTCATTAATTTCTGGCCAGAGGGAGCTACCTGCGGGCAGCACTGGAGATGCTCTCCCCGCGGCCCCGCAGGTCCCCGGGGGGTGCGGAGGGCGCCGGGGGTCGCGGGTGCTCCCGAGCGCCGCGCTCGGAGCCCGACACGCCGCGGCTCCCGCGGCACTTCCACGGGGCCACAGCTCCCACTAGCGGCCAGCGGCTGCCCTCCTCAGGGGGAGAGGCCCCCTCGGCTGTCCCCCTCCGCCGCTACACCGCGTTCTGCCCGCTCCGGCGCCCACACGGTTTCACCGCAAAAATCACCGGCAAAACCCAATAGGGGCGGCGGTACCCGCTGCCCCGGGAGCTGGTACCGGCCTGGGAAGGCGGCACACTGCGACAAGAGCTGTACCGAGGCTAAACACGCGTGGTGTAAAGGCATAGTCGCTCCTGTGAAATTAAGGTCGTTACCCGAATTTCTTCCAGGAGGGATTTCTTGCCAAAACAGTATCTGCAGAAAGGATTAAAAGTTAAATCCCAGTAAATTACCCAGGCCTCTTTTCTGCCATTTCCCCTACCTATTAGTCGAGGCATGCAAAGAAACATCCTACCAAAAACCCTAATAAAGAGCCAATTTCGCATAATTTTATGCCTGAAAGAATATGTGTATTCACTTAAAAATCGGCTTCGTAATGGTACTCGTCCGACTTTTAGACGAACGCCAAGAAGCTCTTAAAAGGAAAACAACTGGCACTGTAATTTATTTCCCGGATAAATTTTGGAACCCCTTTTAAAACTAAACGGGTGTTTCAGCCTGGCAGAGCCCGCTCGTCCCCGCTCGCAACAGAGAGGAAAGAAATTGGAAGCGCGCTCGAAGCCCCATAGATTTTGAGTTAATTGTGTTCAGTAGTTCTCTAATGAAATCTACCACTCAAGAAAACAAGGAAATCAGTTTGCTTTTCACACAAAACATCGAATACGTTTTAAGTAAACTGCTTAATTAAATTTAATTTGCAGTGAGGAAGGAATTGCAGATCCGGCGACGCAATTTGGTGGAAAAGGATCTGATTCCCGGGACGGAAACTTAGCACTCAAGTGGGAGCTTAGGTATCTATGCACACCGAGGGGCATCAAAGGAGAACTTCACCAGCGAGGGGAGGAAAGTACTTAATTATTAAACTTTTAAAACAAATGTGTGGTGTGTAGCCAGTCGTGAGGCGATGTAAACACGGAGCCTGATAAATGCTTCCAGCCGACAGAGACGTGTAAAATAGGTCTACCTCATTTTGTGATGCTGCTGCTGCTTCTGTTTGTTTAGAAGCAAAAGGTTACGAGCGGTGTTTTGTAGAAGTGGTGAGTAAACTGTGACCTCTAACTCTTCGTATCCTTGCTTTAAGTAAACCAGAGGAAATGAAGAGCCCTGGTATTGTCTGAAAATATCCTCTTGTAGCTAAATATATCCCACGGTTCCTATTGTCCAATGCCTAATCATTTTTACGCAAATACAGCTGTTTTACTCTACTGTCCAGCATCCTACCGATGCACACTGTAAGAGTATAAAAAGCCACGTTAATAAAATAATTTTTCAGTAAAAACCAAGACAAAACTGGGTGCTAGCTTCCGAGATAACTTAATCAACAAAGATTAAGATATTCAAAGAAACGCGGGCTCGGTGGCTACTGTGCTCAGGTCACGCTTTTTGGCCGAGGAACCGGTCCCTACGGTTGGGTCGGGCCGCAGGGCCCTTCCAGAGCCGCAGAGTTACTTACGGTTCCGAACAGGGCCGGGCCGGGCCAGAGCGGGAGGCGGGGGCCGGGCCGGGCGGGGCAGGCGGCGCTCGGAGGGGCTGCGGCGGCGCGGAGCCCCTGGGCAGCCGCGGGGCCCCGGGGCAGCCGCGGAGCCCCTGGGCAGCCGCGCTGCCACCGCGCTCCTTCCCCGGTGCCGACTCTGCGCCCGCTGATCGGCCTCCTGCCTTCCCGTCTCCCGTCCAAGAAGCGCCTCGGAAACGGGAGAAGCGTGAGAGTAAAGGCTGGGGACGGGGGTTTCAAAGCAAAAAAGACGAGTGTTCGGAACTTAGAAATCGGCTTCGGCCGCCGCTTCTCTGGGGGCTATTTCGGGAGGAGGTCCCAGCAGACATTTCGTGTTTCGCAAGGAGCGCGGTTTCCTGGCAGACGAACGCACGGGGAACCGGCTGCTGGGGGAAATCCTGCCGCGGCCTGGGGAGCGGCGCCGCGCTCCCACGGCGCCCCGGCGGCCCGGCTCGGCGGACGGCGATGGACGCGCAAATGGACGGATGGGTGGATGAGCACTGCCAGCGAGCAGGTGAGACCTGCCTGTCCCCTGCCTTTACTGAAAAACTGAGACTTTGCTGTTGGTGCCGCTTAAACCTTTATTTCCTGTACCTCACACTGGCTTAAAAAAATTAAAATCTGTTCATCACTGAATAACCTCTTTCACCTTCTTTCCAACAGTGATGTCGACAATAATTATGTAGATATGGGCTCTGGTACTACAAAATCTATAATGAAGGGCAGCTAATCTGAATGGAACAGGATTGGGACCACAATGCGTGATTCTCTTTTAAACATCAGCCTAAACATGAACTTTTTGAGGTGGAAAAGCTCACCATAATTCATCATTACATGAAAATGTAACAGTTTTGAAAGTCAAAAAATTGTATCTCAATGGATACAATTACTGCTAAATTCAATAAAGAGAAATGATGATTGACGCTTATTCACTTAAATGGATTGTTTATCGTTTGTACAAAAGGCCAAGTGTGCCAGATACCTGCAAGAGCTCTTAATATATTATTCACAATGCAACAGTGCATTTTCTGCACTTATGGTAGAGTAAGTACACATCTAGATGTTGATTTGCCTTCACCAGGTCTGTTTAGAACTGTAGTTTAGGTCAACATATCTTCTTAGAAAATGATCTTGCCTTCTCCCAGATACAGCCATAGAATTCAAGCAACCTTGTAATAAAAATCAAATACATTCATACATCCAAACCATGCATTTTAACTCTGTTTGACTTGACTTATGCTGATTCTCTGCACCAGTCCTTGAAAACAAAAATATTTACAGTATTCTATGGTGTGTGATATAAGGGGTAGGAAAAATGACCTGGGATCAAGCTTCTGCTACACAACAGGCCTTTTATTGTCGAAGGGGATCTATGTCCTTTCAAGAAGAGCTGATGCTGAGCTAGCATAACCCTTGATTCTATGTGTCAGTCTATGGAAGATGATTGTAAGCATGAGGTTGTTTAGTACAGAATGTTGTTTAGTCAACAGAAACTCAGCACCCTTCAGCAGACTAACAAAATGGTGAGGTGGAAAGAGTGGGATAACCCTGAAATGCACACATGGCAATACCACCATGAGAATGGAACAGATATGCATGAAAGTCATGGTTCAGCTCCTGCTAGACTGGCCCATGAGTCTGAAACTATACCAACCTGGGCACTTCAACCATATCCTCCCGCCCTGGAATGAGCCTTAGGCACACAGGCAGCTCCACAGCTCTCTTCCGAAATAAATCCCCTCTGTAACGCAACGTGGAAGGTGTTTATTGACTTCAATTTCACCTGCACCTGCACCAAGCTGAGACCTTGCAATGACAGAGCTAAGACCCCGAATGCTCTGAAAATGTTTAATGAAATACTCCATGCAGTTAAAAGTGAGTAATAACCAACATCTCCATATTTGGTGTACATGCAAAAAATGGCAGAAACTCAATCCTGAGAGCATGTTAGTATCATCACAGAGAGGGGGAGATCAGCTTCAGGTCAGGAAGGACAATAGATAGGGTGAGGTGTATGAGGTGGCACATAGCTCAAGAGAAAAGGAGATATCAAATGTAAAACCTTTTTCAAGACAAGATAGGAATGGATGAACTGTCAATACTTTAGTGAGATTATACATACGAATGCATTTGCTTGGCAATTTAGACATCTCTCTAACGTAATTGTCTATGCTTTGCTAAGCTGCAAGGATGCCATCCCTCCAATACATTTCTCAGGAGTTAGCTTTCAACTTGGGCTTGGAAAAAATGATAAATGAACATGCGAAGTTTGAAGCGCAGTTCAACAAATCACCAAAGTGAGAGCACATGTTTAACGTGCTGTTCTAAGGCCTTCCATGCTCCTACCTTTGCCAGACAGATGCACTGTTTCATATTATAATAACTATTCAGGACATTTATGAACAAATTTGGGAAAACTAAGATCTCTTCTGTTCCCATATAAGGGAAATCAATACTGCACAAGGCAGGTGGCAACGAAAATGCCTACCTGCCTCCCTGGGATGGTTAATGACATAGAAAACTCCAGAACAACCCAAAACTTGCCTAACCAAAATTTGAGTTCAAACTGTAATGAAATAAAAATTAAACATTGAACACAATCACCAACAGCATTTTCTCTATGCAGACACATGCAGGGGGCTTACAGTTAGAACACTACGTGTTAGTCTATGTTTCTGCATACTTTGCATTAAAAGGATACATATTTCAAGTTCTTCCCATCAAATGTCAACTTGCCCCCTTTCCAAACTATATGCAGCTATAGTTTTCTAGAAATCAACAGTATCTCTGATGTTCTACAATAATTTTAAAAAGGAAAAGCCTACAGCAATGCAAACATAACATTCACCCACACAAGGTCTACAAAGATGTAAGACAGAGAATGCCTTAGGTCAACAAAGAGACAGCTGATTCCACCAACTGAACTTCTACCCCAACAGAGGAAATCAAACCAAACCAAAGGCCTAACTGCTTTTCCTTTTTTTTTTTTTTTGAGGGCAGGGGAAAGAGAAACAGGTAGTGAAATGTGGAATGGCAGAAGGGGCAATCTCATGAAAAATGGGCATTTTGTCCACAAGATAGTCCTAGAGGTGGGACTAAAAATAACCTGGTAACTTCTAAGCCTACACAACGTTAAATAGAGAGAACAAATGTTGCTCTTTAGCAGCAAATCATGTGATGCAGAACAAAATGCTTGATACCACAGCTGTACGTAAGATTATTTAGCTTCTTGCTTTTATAACAGGAAACAAAACTACATAGGTCTGTTTTGAGTATTGACTTTTAATAGCTTGTTTCTCATAAGGGAACAGGGGATGTTTTCTGCTTTAGAAATACAGGTATCAGTTGATCTTTAAATACAGCCTGCTCCTGCCAACAGGTCATGTACATGATTTATTTGGCTTCAGCTTTTGTTTTTATGCATTAAGCAACTTCCAACCTTCTTCTGTCATACAATATATTGACAAATTTAAGTACAGTAATAGTTTAGGTATTTTACCATCTTCACATTTTCTTGACATACTGGACAAAGCAATACACATCAGTCTGCTCCCAAGCCCCAGTTTCATACAAAGCTCGTTGAATACTGCTTTCAGCAGCACATTCAACTTGCTCCCACATTTAATTTGCTAAATCTACAGAAACAGACCCTTTGGGAATATCAGGAATTACTTCCAACTTTGTCCAGTGACATTCAAATGCTCAGGCAATTACTGGTAACTGTCATGTTATGGTTACTACAGATGTTACACACTGACAGGAAAAAGTGTTTTAGAACTGGACAAGCTATAGTAATCTAGGTTTTGGTAGAGAAATTACATATAAAAAGGGGGACGTAATATATATAGTTTTTAATCTGTAGTTTCATTTTTCAAAATAAAACCTGTATATATAAATGGGTAAGATTCAAGATCTGTATAACAGCTGCTCTCTGGCTAAAACAATATATTTGAACAGAATCTCACTTTCTGTATTTCAGTTCAAATGTACTAGCCAGTCCAGTCCTTTGGGAGAAAAAACTTCCATTTTTAAATCCTTCAGGATCCATCAGATTCATTATATGGTAATGACCTTAACTTATACAATATATTATATTATGAGATGAACTGAAGGGGTTTAGATATCGGAAGTATCAGTCTGGGTGCAGTAAGCCAAACAGCCATTTAAACATGATACTACAGCTGAAATAAGTCTCTGTCAGAACAAAAACCAACATTCATAAAAACAGCAGCAGCCATCAATAACATTCACAACTGCAGGAATTTTTTACTGTGTGTGATTTTGCATTTTAAGTAAAAGCCACAATAGTTTAAAGCAAAATTTAAAAAAATATCACTATAGTCTTGAATTTAATAATGTGAATTGTCACTCTGATAGCTGTTTATATAAGTGTACTAAAAAAAATTTACTTAAACATACGTATTTAAGACTTTCACTTTATTCAGCAAATTGGTTTATTTACACAATGGGGAACGCTGGTTGAATGCTGTCAATGTAATAAAAACAAATCTAACAGAGACAATACTGAACTCTCTCTATGTATTCATAGCAGAAATGACAAACTATTTCCTTACCTGTGTCAGGAACATCAAGCGCAACAACGGGACAGTATCATAGGACACTGATTTAACAATAAACCACAGAGGTCCAGTAATACTATGGCAATTTACTCATGTATTTACTGACTTTAAAATAAAAACATTAAAAGTCAGCAATACCCAGTAAAAAGTTCTGTCAATTATCAGAGTCAAACTCTGATGAGTAGGTCAGTAAAACCTTATCAGATCATCCACAGTTCATAAAGTTACATGAGTTGCTTCAGACCACCAATACAGAAACAAAATTGATGAAAACAGATTATCCTCTAAAAAGCAACGATGATCTGATAAGGGTTTAACTTAATGGAAGTTAAAAAAAAAAAAGAATTGCAGAGCACAGCCCCTATTAGAACAAGCTAACTTTCCAACTTTCATAAAAGACAAAAAAAAATTGAGAGAAAGAAAAAAAAAAACCAAAAAACACTTCAACATGAAGCTACCATACAAAGTTTTTGTTTTCCTGGGTTTTTTTTTTTTGTTGTTGTTTTTTTTGTTTATTTTTTTCTTTTAAGAGTTCAGAGTTGAAATTTAATCCTGGCTTTTTAGGGAGAAGGACAGTTTTGGCCTAGACTTTCCTTTGCCCAGGATAATTTTTTGCTCTTCCTTTTGCTGACGCTGTCTCTCTTGTTCTAGTTTCATCCTCTCCTCATGAATCTTTCTTTGTTCTTCAACAATTTTCAATTGTTCTTCAGCCTATACAGGAAAATGGTAAAATTTAGGCCAGCATATTTTGTAGTCATAAAAGCAATTTACAAGTCTATATTAACTTCCAAACAGGTGGAATCCTGCGTAAGTATGTAAGCAGTTCCGCCTGAGCTGGGTTCCATAGTTGGTTTCAGTTAAACCATTTATAAAATGGTTATTTGAATTGAGTTTAAAAGAAACACTGAGAACTTACTACAGCTAGTGTATCGAAATCTGGAGTGCTTACATGCCAAGTTTTTCAGCATTGCTTTGGAAACAACACATTACATTTTAATTAAGGAAGACATTAGATACATACAGAAATTGTCCCAACACTTGTCACTTGTGTAAGCTGAAGTAACATACACACATAACGAAATCACATATCTTCAAGCCGAAGTCTCCCTGCTCCAAAACCCATCTAAAAACCCCTCCTAATCCAAAACCATCTTCACTTGATTTACACCTAGTCAATCCTTACATTGACCTGTGATTCTTACAACACTCCCAGTGGTCTTCTAAAGGTGCTTATTTAGTTCATTGTATCAGTCAATACTTTAAATTTTCCATTTGTCCTGTTTCTACCACAAGAGGTTGAGAAAAGGGTAAAACAGAAAGAAATCTAAAGTATATGTAGTTCAAGCAAAGAGATTTAA